CTACACAACACTACAGGCCAGAAGGAGTGGCAAGATATATTCAGTCCTAGAATGAAAAAAAAGAATGCAGCCTACGATACTCTATCCAACAAGACTATCCTTTAGAATAGAAGGAGAGATAAAGAATTTCACAGACAAGCAAAAGCTAGAAAAGTTTAGCAACACTAAACCCATGCTAAAAGAAATATTGACAGGTCTACTTCACATAGAAAAGAAGCAGGATGCTACAAAAATGAGAAACTTATAATTGGAAAGGTGATAACTATCATGAATTACAAATAGAATAAACACAAATTGTAAAAGAAGACATCTAAATCACTAAGAGTGGGAGAGGGAAGGAAGGAAATTTAGAGGGTTTTTTTGTTTTTTTTTTTTAAATTTTTGTTCTCAGTAGGATGGATTTGAGTTATATTACTATCTGTTTAATACAAACAGTTATAATAATGGGTTAATAGACTTGCAAAAAAGGGTAACCACAATCCAAATCTTACAAGTGAGTCACAAAAACTAAATAAAATCCAAGATAATAAAAGGAAAATTACCAAATGACAAAAAGAAGAAAGGAACAAAGAGGAAATACCAAATAAACTGCAAAAATAAATTCAAAATGGCAATAAACACACATCTATCATTAATTACTGTAAATTTTAATGGACTAAATCCTCCAGTCAAAAAACATAGAGTGGCAGACTGGATAAAAAAGCAAGAACCTTCGATATGCTGCATACAAGAGACCCACTTTAGGGAGAAGGACACATATAGATTGAGAATGAAAGGATGGAAAAGGATATTTCATGTAAATGGAAAAACCAAAAAAGCAGCTGTAGCAGTACTGATTTCAGACAAAATAGACTTTAAAACAAAGGCCATAAAGAAAGATATAGAAGGACATTTTATAATTATTAAACGAGTAATACAAGATGAGGATATTACACTCATTACTATATATGCACCTAATATAGGAGCACCTAAGTACATAAAACAATTACTAACAGAGATAAAGGGGGAAACTGATGGGAATACAATCATTGTCAGAGATTTTAACACTGCTTCAACAACACTAGACAGATCTTCCAGACAGAAAATAAATAAGGCAACAAAGAAATTAAATGATAGAATAGAAAAATTAGATTTCATGGATATTTTCAGAGGATTACACCCCCCAAAAATAGGATATACATTCTTTTCAAGTACACATGGAACATTTTATAGGCTTGATCACATACTT